ATCCTTTTAACTTTGGGTGATTGAAACATTTTGTTGTAACTTGATGGGTCAAGTAATCTAAACAAAAGTGGATCCAGGATTTTAAGTTTATGGCTTTGGCAAAAGCTATTGGGTTCTAGTGAACCCATAACTTTAATGGTAGCTCCGACACCATATCTAAAATATATAGACGTAGAACCATTCTTCTGTTTCCTATATTCTGGTTGGTGAAATACTTTTCATGTCCATCTGGATTTGAATGAATTGCAGCAGTTTCTTGTGAGTATAACTGGGTGAGTCATTATCGAATCAGTTTTGTTCATTGTTTGCTGATCTATTTGACTTGTGAAAACTGAAAAATGTTGGATCATGGATGTAAGATGTATCTTCATGCAATTTCTTCACTTATGATACCCATTATTTATTATCTCATTATTGAGCCCTCTTGCTATCAGTCCTTTGTCACCACCAGTAATGTTCTCACCCCAAGTATAATGGCTGTCCTTCAAATTGCTTCATCCTTTCAGTAGAGAAATATTTGGGTGTAATAATCGTTATTTTGATAATTCAGAAGTCATTTGCACTTGACAGTTGCTTACTTTCTCTTTCTGCTTCACTCTAAGCAGAGCACTTGGAGGATACCAGTTGCAAGCTTCCAGAAAACCCGCCACCACCTTCAGAGTGGTAAAACACTGTGTTTAGTTATCTTGTATTTTTGTTCTTGTAGTTATTTTTCTTTCCCAACTCTGTAATACATCTACTGTCAGGCTCGAAGATACTCTCATTGAACTTTATCTGGCGAATTATACCACTCAAGCTGCCAATAGTACTTCAGACATAACAGTGGCTCCTGAAATAAATGACACGGATCACACACATTTGTCAGCAGCTGGTTGGTTCAAGGTTTCTGTTTTTCTCAAAATATGATTAGAGTTACAGCATTGCAAGTCATTCTACCTTGACGGTGCAGGGAATGACAGCACATATGAACTTGAGGAAGGTGAATGGATACCAGACGACTGGACAGATTCTGCTGATCCAATTGCAGATGTCATGGATGATGGTTAGTAATGATTATGATACTTTTCATTCATAGATTTTGTATTCTATACAATTTTTCTCACTTGGCATTAAGACGTTAGTGTTGAAAATGTTGATATGACACCAGAAAGGCAGAAAGCATATGGACATTTCACCAAACTATAAGGAGTTCAAATGGGACAAATCCTTGTACTGTAGTTGCTTCCTTTTCTTTTTCTCTTCATCTAGCATATTGTCTATTGATTTTTGTAGTTTCTGTTGTTGCTATCTACACTCTACCCTTCCAGACCCTACTTAGTGGGACTACACTGGGAATGTTGTTGTTGTTGTCTCTCTCTTATTTTCTTTTGGTAGTTCAAATAAAGTGGGAATTATATTGAAGAAAAATCTTTCTTTGACTGCCTCATGAATTCCTCTATTCTGTAACTCATACTAAAAAGATGGAATAGGCTCCTATTCTGAAATACATATGCACCTTATGTTGAATGTCTTCATTTTCATGGTTTTGGATGCATAAAATTGACTGAAGTTCCCTCACAACAGGCATTTGTTTGGAGGAAGAGAACTGGCGAGCCCAGTATGGTCAAGTTGAACGACCAGTTGAGGATTCTCTGTCACATATTCAGGCTGTTGATTTGTGGGACTGGTCAATGGTTAAAAAGATCAGAAAAGGTCGAAAAAGAAGGGTGGCCAAGCTGGTCGGACGACTGGTGAAGCCAACTGCTAAGCTGCATCCATCAATGCCCTCAAGTGGCCATCTTCTTAAAACTGCCCCAGTATGTGAAGTCCATCTTGATCTGGTACGAGTTACATCAGGTTTGCATTGTCAAACTTCCATTTACAGGGGAACTTCTGCATCCTATTTGTTTACAGTTTACACAGATCAGTTATTGTTGTTAACATGTCCCGTTTTAGTTGAGGTTTATAAAATGCTCAGTGAACTGTTGTGACTTACTGTAAAAAAATTATCTGAATTCACGTAATTCCCTTTTCTATGTCTATCTATTCAATCCGTGATCTTTTCATTACATATGCCAGAAACTTCCTTCTTTATTTTGTGGCAAAAGGTGGAGGATTTGTGGCTTAGGTCGCAGGTTCAAGCCTCACACCATGCAAAGCGAAGCCCGGTATTTAAGTGGAGAAGGGTAGAGGGGCGGGCCCATTATCCACCGAGTTTAGAAGGCTGTGATTGGTCCAAAGGGCGGGTCACAGATGGATTTCTCGGTTATCAAAAAAAAAAAACTTCCTTCTTTATTTTTTACATGTGAGCAAACTCATGCCTCCCTGGTGACTGCCCTGCAAAACTAAATGGCCAATACTTTCTTTTCATGTTTCAGCCATCAGCATGTATGCATTCACATTCATTCATGGTCAGCCTTACTTAGAATACTGTCAGATTAGACATGCATATCTTGAGATGAAGTCATGTAAGCTACAGTATGTGTATAGACAGTAAAAGAGATGTAATGAGGCGCAACATTAAAGGGACAGGGATTTCCAACTTCTTCTGAAACATCCATAACTCTCTTTATTTCGTTCAATCCTCTGCATCAGAAGATTGTAGAACCTCAACGACAGACAAATTCTGTTATTTGGCTGTCATGAGAAGATGTTTTCATTTTTTGAGTATGAGATTTTAGTTTGCATTTGCCATCCTTATTCTATCCTTGTTGGAACTCATTCAAAATGTTTACTTACTACAGGTCAGGTGTACAGGTTGAGAAATCCTAGCACACAATATTTGGCTTCTTTGTCAAATTATGATTCTTCCAATCCAACGAAATATTGGCGCTTTCCGCAAATGTCAATCAACAGAGAAATCCAGACATGCTCACCAGTCACTGAAAGATATAAACCCATAAGCACAACACTTCCTGGTGGGGAGGATGTATCTCTGCCATCGGAGATCAGTGCACCTGAAAAGGTATTCTACGTCCACTTTATGTTTCAAGTACTAATACAATTTTTATACATGGAGATGGGTTATTGGTCATTTGGGATAAACTGATAAAGTTTCTATATGCAGTCAATTAGGGTGAGTTCTTTAGCAGATTTAGTATCTTAAAGCTTGAAAAGTTGGAACACTTTTCTGAAAGCTGCACTAGAAAATTTGCTAACTGGGAAATGTAACAAATTGTATTAAAGTATTAGACGGCGAACACAACTAAAAGATGAAGATAAAAAAGCATGCCAGTTCAGTAAACAAACAGCATAGATTGAACCATCTTAGACAATAGTGCTAGTTGCTGAGCTGAGTTTGGATCTGTGATTATTTCATTCTCTTTAGTGATGAAATAATCAATTGAAGAGAATGGAAGGATAGCCTAGTGGTAAGGACCCTCCACCTCCAGCATAAGGTTATAAGCTGGAGTCACCGAGGAAACAAAGTGGGAACACGCCATTATTGGGCTTCTGAATGGAGGAGCTTTTGTTCAGGTTTGGGGGAATTCTACCATGTAAGTAGAAAAACAATTGAATCATCTCTTAAGAAAACTTTTTAATTTTACTGGAAAGATGCTTTCTCCTATTTAGATGAACATGCACAAGGATCTACAATCTCTTACCTATCTATTAAGTTGTGTGATTATGCCATTCCAGGACAGAGACCACCTGTACAGGGACAGAGCTGCAGAAAGAAGAGCATTGCATGGTGGGTTTGGCGTTGGTCCAGGGCAAAAAATTTCACCCAACTCTGATGATTCTGTTCCTTCGGAGACATCTGCTGGTCCAGAGGAAGCTCTTTCCGAATCCTTGAGCAATTCATTTGGAGCTGGTAGCTATGCCAGAAGAATGTTGGAAAACATGGGCTGGAAGGAGGTACAGTTTAAACGTTCACGACTTTAAGAACTATAGTTTTAGCTACAAGTGTCACCGAGGAGGTTTTACGTAATCTTAAAATGTCTTATCTTTGGATCTCAAGAAAAAGTAGAGACCTACCTAGACTTGTAAAACTCTGAATATTGTTCTTCTGATTCTTTCTTCCATATTGATGGCCCATCTCTAGGTGTCCATTCAATCTTTTCACTCAGGTGTAAAGGGAACTTTTTCCTTCTTTCATTACTAGGTCGTTGTAATAGTTTTAAGTTATTAGAATCCATCTTTTATCGAAAAGGAAACGTTCACCCCATCTATACTCGGACATTCTTAGATTCTCTTTAATGAGTAATTTCATGATGTGTAGTAATGAAAGATTAGTTCACCTAGCGATTACATGAGGACCTCTGTGAATGAGACTACTTTAGTGAAACTTGGAACTGTAATGACGGTATTGTCACCTGATGGCTTGGGTGTTTTCACAGGGAGAAGCACTTGGCTGCAGCAACAAGGGGTTGATTGAACCTTTACAGGCTACGGGAAACAAAGGTTCTGCTGGGCTGGGTTGGAATGATGAGCGAAGAAAGCAGTCCATGTACAGTTCTAAAAAATAAGCGATGTACCTCCTTTTTTGGCAGTCTGATAGAATGTAATAAATCTAATTTCACTCGTCTGCTCAGTCAGCTTAGTTTACTTTTTATTGCCTTGTTTACTAGTCAGTCACATATCTGCTTCTGACCTATTTTATATTACACCATTTGATTAAAGGGCAATACAAGATCAAGTTATCACTGTTATATCATATCAAGAGTTGTAAGAGAAACAATTAGAAAAGCAACTGTCCCCATATTAGTTGTCCCAGTTTTGATTTTGGGTTGAACGAAATCATGCCTTTTAAAAATGGGGAATTATTCCTTGAACATTTGAACCCTCTGGGACGTACGTTTTAAGTACAATAAAAATACGTCATAATATTGTTTCGAGTAAAATGAGACATCTATATTATAATAGAATTAGATGAAGTTGCTTTAATCACATTAATAAAACAGTACCCACAGTTCAAAATTTGATTAATATGATGAATTAAATTTTTGGAACTAACAAAATATCAAGAAAACATTGTTAGTAAGACAATTTGACATTTTGAGAAATGTCAAAAACAAATAGAATGATAAAAGGTGCTACCTGCATATAGACTAGCTACACTCTACAAGATAAATTACAGTTCCGCACGATACAACGGCTAAATTGCAAGTGCATAGTTGAGAAAATGTTGTACGAATCAAAAGAGGCTATAGATTATATTGGTGCTGCAGACATAGGAAACTAAATACACCATGTAATACCCAAGAAAATGGGAAACAAAAACACAGAATCTAACACGGATTGCAGTTATAAGTACATCGGTAACACTGTCTACAGCTCGTCAGTCAGAAAGATATGGCAGTGCTTGTTGCTTTACAAACTGATAGCTCTTGGTTCCAGATCTGCAGGCTTATCTTCTGCTTGCTTTACCGTTGTACCATTCAAGGATAAAAGAGTAGCTTCATGTATGAAGGTAAGGCCTCGAATGTGCTGACCAACTCCAGAAGCTTGCGCTACTCGTTCTCTGCCTGTGCTGCTGTAGTTGTCATTTCCTCATCATTGGCAGTTTTATCAGGAGTTAATTCGGTTTTCTCCACAACAGTGTTTTTCTCATTCAACTCTTCATTCAGCTTACTGATCACTTCATCCTTCTCTTCAACTTTATCTTGCAAGATTAGTACCTAGGACAAATACGATTAAAACGTCAAAAGTCATCCTAATGTCCACTTTCACTCTAAACAAGAATGGGAACTGTGTGAAGCACCATTTCGTTTGATCTTTCTACATCATTCGTCAGTCCCTCTATCTGTTTGCACAGGCCTGCAAGTGGGAATAAAAATTGTTAGAAAGTGAGTGAATCATTGCAGTTCTGAATAACAACGGCAAAGCAACAGAATTCAAGTTGGGTCAAACATAAAGGAATGTCAGTGAGCTAAAAGGTAAAATGAAATCTATAACAAAATTAGCACAAATATGGATTGCTTACGCAATGAGGGTGCTAACTTCCTAGTTATGCCATTTTTCCCCCAAAAAATAAATAAATGTGAAAAGTTAGATACTATAATCCGCCATAGTACAAGGAGAAACTACTTTGATCTACAAACAAATTATGAACTCTGGAGAGAGCAGGCAAATGGGTGAATCAGTGTAGGAATTAACAGTTTCACAGTAAGGGATGGTGTAGGTTTCACTGATGATGATAACTCAATTCTAAGTAAAAGCATGCCTTATATCTGGCATGACTTCAATGTCGCAATAATAAGGGCATGCATGCAGATATATGGTAACCACACACAGATCAGGCGCAACTGATTCTTTTGAGTACAGAGAAGATATGCATTTAAAATGTAGTATAATTCCTCGTCAACTGCTTACTTAAGCAAAAAACCCTACCAAAAAGCAAATAATATCTAAGAGTGACTATGTCTTTACTCATGTAATGTCCAGATGAACCAGAGGATATGCATTTATTACCAAAAGTTTCAACATTTACGGCAAAGCTAAATATCCTCGCCAATATTATCAATCACACTGATCATATCTAGAATGACCAAACCGACCAGCCAATCAGAAAAAATATTAGCAGCAAACAAAAAGTTCCTAGCCCAATCAAAAAGAAAACACAGGTGTATTTGTAAAACAACTTGGGAGAACATTAACCTTCAAATTGACTTTTGAGTTCAGCATTCTGAGACCTCTGCAAAGCCAGTTTCATTGTTAATTCATGTATCTGCAAGTAAAGAAAGAAACAGAACTTCTGTAACATCTCACATTTATCACCTTTAAAGCAACCATCATAATTTAACAAACCTGAAAGAAATAAGCTAGGCAACTAAGTAACTTATGAATAGATTACTCTTTCCATCTCTAAATTCAGTTTTGAACTAAAAGTGTTTAATATTTTACACACTTCACTGCTCAAGAAAATCATTTACTACCTTTCCTTCATTAGCCTGGTTTCCAATCTCTTCATTTTCCTCCTGCAGTGTCCTACATTTAGCCATTAGCATCTTGCCCATTTTGCTTTGTGGGGTAAAATTGACAGCAGCAATGTTATCATGCAACTCCTTCACTTTCTTATCCTTCTCCTCAACCAAATTCTGGCAATGCAAAATAAGAAAAGATGTAAGCAAGAATGCAATCAGAGCCAGCAAGGCCACGAAGGAACAATGAAAAAGTCAAATAAACTACACGTGAAAAGCATCCAAAAATTTAAGCACCAAGCATGCTTTATTCATTGGCAACAGGATGCATCATCTGAGCTCATTGAGCAATTCAAAAGATAACCTGGAATGATGTCACCAACAGTGCGCTGCCCCGTTAAATAAAGAATTCAAGCCAACCATCAAAGAGACTTGAAAGAACAATGAAGTTAAAGTATGGAACCACTAGATAAATGTATCAATCTCCTCTCCAGACATTTCAGCTTGAAATTAAAATCAATCCAGATAACTCACCTTCAGCCTAGTGAACTCTTCATGAATAGCTGGATCTAGTAATAGCTTCCGTGCCTGTAAATTTACCCCCAAAAGAATAAGGAAACTGAGCAAAATGTGAACAAAGAGATTAAAAACAAATGTTAACCCAAAAAGAAATAAGGAAAAGCTACGGTATAAAATGACATTTTCCAGGAAAAAAGGGAGAGAGAGCTCACTGCAGATACATATTATAGCAGAAAGGAACAAAATGCTACAAAGGTTTGTTTATTCAGTGAATCATAGTGCTGTTCTCAGAAGAAAAAAAGGAAATAAAGAGAAAAAAACAGAAAGGTTTTGATTCCATAACTCTGGCTTGTAACCTCTAAATTTCTGGATTTTTTTTGTTTTAATTGGTAACATTGTATTCCTCAGCATTAAGGATATGCTGGAGATCTTCAAAAATAAGCAAAAAGAGAGTAGGAGGAAGCTATTTCTGGTAAATTAATGGAACTATATGCATTTCTTGAAACTTTGTTCTTAGTATCAGACTATCATCTGTTCTCACTTAACATGAAGATCTCTTAGGCCATTCATTGAGCAAACTTGAATCTAAATCTTAGAGAAACTAGTTAAGGGGGCATAATCATATGTGCATATTACAAACTTGGTAAATTCAACTAGGAATGAATATAAACTTTGAAAAATAGGAAATGGGAATAGAAAATAGGAGGAGAAATTTATGATACTGATGCCGACTGAGCATAGCTGTCAAAGGAGAGTTGAACTACAAGGAAATCACCACCCATTAAATGCAATAACAATTTTAACATCTTCTCTGTTTTTGATAATTGTGTGATTATGAGAGTATTGTTGGAAAATAGTGCAGGCTTCATAAATTAATTACAATAAAAACAAATCTGCCCCTTAATTAGTAGCATAGATAGTAAGAAACAAGTAGACACTGAAGACTCAATCTTTTCATAAATATTAAAGACCCAAATAATCCAGCTAGTAGGATCTACATTAGGGTTAAGCAGAATGATTCAAGCAGAGAAGAGGTACAGGCCACCAAATGCAGTTCCTAAGAGGCTCTATCTTATCAGCCAGTTCGATGTTGGATAAATGTTGCTCTTACCCTTCAGTTATCTTACCTCCATTAGTCTGGAAGCGAATAGCTGAACTTGCATCAAAAGTATCAACAAAATAGAAACACAAAATGAAACCATTCCCTTTCATGATTCCCCTTGCTAACTTACATTTAATTATGACTGAAAACTGCAGCCTTCGAAACTCAGGGATGAGGGCGTCAACCCTCTACCCTTCTCAACTTAAAATACTGGAGTAGGCTTACTTGGCGCAGCTCAAACTTGTGACCGAAGAAACAAGTCCCTCAACCTAAGTCAATTG